AGTCCCCACTTTTACACACGCCCGTCCTCCAGCCTTTTACATCTGCTCTTCCCGAGTCCGGGGCACCGTCTGCTTCCGCCGTGTTCCCCTCTCTGAGGTCCCAGCTGACAGGACCTTCCCGGTGGCTCAGGATGGAGCGTGTGGTGGCAGCTTCCCTGTGGGGGAGAGCCTGGGCCCAGACAGGTGCGGGGCCGACTCCCGGCCCCCTCTCCTAGCAGTGCGACTTCAGGCAAAGAGCTGGAAACTCAGTCCCCTCGTCTGTCACATGGGGTGACCGACCGCTCCCTGTCAGGGGGCCGTGAGGGTGCAGTGAGGTGGCGATGTCAGCTCCTGCCCCACACGTGACCGGCACCCACTCTCCCTCCCTCTCCCCTTCTCAGTCCTTCCTCGACCTTCTAGGGGCAGACAAATCAGGAATTCAGCAAATAGTTTCATTTCAGTAGAATCACCGCGTAGCCTAAGTCCTCGAAGTGCTGACTGGGTCTGTCAGCTTCGTCCTGGGGACGACCCTGACCACGCCCCTCTCTGGACCTCATGCCCCTCCCCTCCTCTCCACGCTCACGGTCCTGCCTCCACCGGCCAGCGCCACCTCTCCCCAGCCCTCCCACCGCTCTCCCTGCTTCCTGTCCCTCTCTCGTCCAGCCGACCCCCACACTGTGACCAGCCTGGTCTTTCTAATTTAGGGATCTGATCTTGTCACTTCCTGTGCACAGAACTACCCTCGGTTCCCGCAGCCTAGGGAATCAAGTCTCTGTCACCGGCACAGCGTGGAGACTCTGTGCCACCCTGACGCCACAGTGCGGTCACAGTCCCCAGCTGTCAGCACACTCTGCCCGGCTGGAAGATGCCGAGGGCTGTAACAGACCGAGGCACCAGCACTGAGGCTGAGCCTAGATGCAGGAACCTGAATACAACAGATACTTTACTTAATAATAATGTATTAATATTTGTTCATTAACTGCAACAATTCTGTAAAAAACTAGAGGGGAGAAATTAAAAGTCAAATAAGAGAAGCCTATTCCATCAAACTGGAAACAGAGGAAATGGGTGATTTCCTAGTAAAAATACACATTAATATAATGGACCCTAAAATAAGGAAAATACAACAGATCAATTAGCCATCCAGGGACCTCCTCCCCTGCTGGCTCTCCGCTCCTCGTTCTGGGGTCTCCCTCCCCCGGACAGGGAAGGACAGGGACTGAGCTGATCAGCAGCTCCCCTGAGATTTGCCTCTGCCCAGTGACCCCAGCAGCCCCGCCCAGTGAGGATACCGTGGGGGGAGGGCGTCTCGGGGATTATTGACTCTGCTGTGTCAGCTAGGACTCTCTTCATTGCAAGGAACTGGACTCACTGAAGCAAAATTAATAATTTTATAAATGGTGGAATAAATTAATACTTGCAAGGAGCAAGTTTAAGAGTGGGTTTGGACCTGGCAGGCCCAGGGTCTCACTTTTCCGCAGTGGGACCCGATTCCTCTCCAGCCCTCCACCTACAGGCACCGTCCCTGCTGCTGGGGGTCCGGGGGAGGCCGCCAGCCAACGGCTACGGAGGCACTGAGGTCCTTGAACTCACAGCCCCTGAGCTGCCCACTCCGCCGCAGCACGGGCATGGGCTCGGCCCCCGCTCCGCCGGAATCCGTGTGTCCCTGGAGTCATGTGTCAAGGCACAGTGCCCAGGATGATGTATGAGGCGGCGAAGCCGTCGAGGGGTGACGAGTTCACGAGGGTGGAGCCCTCGTGAAGGAAGGAAACGGGCCACTGCCCCTCCTGTCACAGGCGGTTAAAGCAAAAAAAACAAAAACAAAAGGCCACTGGGAAGCAGACGTCGGTGAAGCTATGAGGGCCGCACCCCTGGACCCGCAGCCCCAGCTCTGTGAGGAACGAACCTTTGCTGTTGTAGCTGAGTCTGGGGCGTTCTGTGCAGCAGCCGGGCCTGACCGGGCGCCCCCACCGCCCCACCGCCCCGCCGCCCCGGCCCACGAGGACACGCCCAGCCGGAGAGGGACAGCGAGACCGTTCACGCCACGATTGTAAACAAGCCCTTAGATTTGGGGGCAATTTGTTACACAGGAGTAAATGACTAATACTCATGAACGTTCTACCAATTTCGCAGTTTGCAAATAACATCAGTTTAAACTAAACAAAAAACCTGAAAATGAAAAATACTAATGGCCCAGATGCCCGTTTAAAACAGCCGTGTCTCTCCGAGACTCTGGACTGGCGCGACCAGCAGCCCGCGGGCGGCCGGTGACAGGCAGGAAGCCGTGGGACCACCTAGCTCCAGGTCCGTGGGTCGCGCCCGTCCTGTTAGGCTTCAGCCGCTGGCCTCTTCTTCATTCCCCCCAGGGGACTCGCATCTCCCCTCCAGGCCCTTTCCCTGCGCCAACCTCCTCGACCGCGCAGACAGACCGTCCTGCGGGCCGCGTCCAGACGCCTGCGCGCGGGCATCGGCCTGAGCTCACAGGGCCAGCCGAGTCGCTGCCTCTGGGGCCACGCGAGCTGCCCCGCAGGACCGGCTGCTGCCTTCCAGCAGGAAGCCCACACGTCCGGGACAGCGGAAGGACGTGGGGGCCGGATGTGAGGTGGACAGAGCTGCCCGGAGAGTCTCCGGCAGGTGGCGCGCGGGCCCCGCGTTGTCTGCGCTGGGAAGGGCCGAGGGCGCGACCTCCCCAGCAGCAGAGCTGGGGTTCCCCTGGGGGCATCGCCCCCACCACACCCAGGAAGGGAGGCTCTCGAGCTGCCTGCTTCCCCATCATCTGCACCTGCGCCCTTTCCCTCGGGAATCCAGCCCTAAAGCGAAACACTCGGAGGGGGAAGGGTGGCCCCCAGCATCTCTGAAAGGGCTCTGTCCTGCGGTGCCGAGGGGACATCTGGGGGGTGCCAACGACATGAGCCTCCAACCTCACCATTGGAACAAGAATGGCCTCAAAAACGGGGGGCTGATGAGGTGCTGCCTGTGCTACCTCCCAGCCAGAGGGGAGCCTGCGCCCCGCCTCGAACCATGGGGGTCCCTCCCAGGGCCCCGCACTGACTGCAGGGAAGGAGAGGAGGGGGCTCCAGCACACTCGCCAGCCCCTCAACCCCTTTCCGCACCCCATGCAGGAACCCGGGTTTCATCAGTCCTGCGGCCTCCGACCTCCGACCTCCATGGCCCTTGGGACACCACAGGACACCACCCCAAGGGGAGGGCGGGGCTTCCTGCTGGCCTGGCCTGTGGAGAGGGAGGTGTGAGGAGTGTCCGGCAACGTCAGGAGGAGGGCAGAGGGTGCGTGTGTGAGCGGGACAGTGGTCGTGGTGAAGGTATGGAAACCGAGGCCAGGTGGGCAGGAAGGGTGTGAGGACGGTGGCGGTCAGCCAGGGCGCCCCGTAACTGCCGAGCCTGCACCGGAGGCAGCCAGCCGAGGGACAGAGGACATGGCCGGAGGGAGGCTCGCTTGAAATCGGAGGTTAGGAGGTGTGCCGTTGTCGGAGCGGCTGAGGCCGGGGACAGCCTTGACGGCGGCTGACGGAGCCGTGGGAGGCGAGGTGGGCTGTGTGTGCAGCAGCCTCACCAAGAGCAGCAGCTGCGGTGCCGAGCGGAGCAGGACAGGACCCGACCCGGGGGCTTAGTCCTCAGCCGTCAGGAGAGAGGGTCGGCGCGTCTGTAGTCGACGGGCCAGGAAGGCTCACAGCGAAAACACCCAGGGGCCGGGGTGTGGGGAGGGACAGAAGCCACAAGCTGAGTGCAGCAAAGGGCACCCGTCCACCCAGCCAGGGCTGCACCCAGGAGACACGAAGGGCGGTCTCCCTTAGAGCTGGCCCTGAGCGTTGGTGTCACCTGCAGGGATGCAAAAGCAAGCCATGGCAAAGCCCGGGGCCCAGTGTCCTTACACGTCTGCCGGGGGACGTGGCTAGAGGGCCACCGAGTTAGAGCAGCGGAGGGTCCAGCAGAGCAGGGACCCAGGGCCTGTGCAGATGGGTGTCAGGCTCGCCGGGGTGGTCTCGCACTTGCAGCCACGACCTCATTACACGATTTCTCCTGTATTTTTGGGCTCGTGAGTATACATAGGTGATGTCATCTTTGGGTTCCACGTCACATTAGCAAAGGGGTGCAGCCCAGTCGTGCTTGACCAGCGCCCGTGGTGAGCAGCTGTGTGTGTTCAGGACAGGGGTCTGGGGCCTGTGACAGACTCGAGACTAGACAGAGGCAAGCGAGGGGCGGAGTAACGAGGGTTGTCACGGTTACCACGTACAAAGCCCACCCTGCGATTTGTCTGGGGTGGTGAAGTCAGTGCTGGATGAGGGGCTAGCTGAATCTCCGGGTCCTCAAGGTGAGCAGGACGGTCCCTGAGGACGCCAGCGGCCACCAGGTGGCAGCAGAGGACAGGAGGGTAAACTGGGACAACGGAGCCTAAGAATGGCTGGCTGGAGTAGCTCAGGTGTCACCCCCCCTGCTCCATTACTACATGGGCTGTGACCGTCTCCACCAGACCCTGGACTGCCCTGGGCTGGGCTGGGCTGGGCCCCAGAAAGAAGCCTCATCTCAGACTGCAGCCCTTCTTCACTCCCTGCGGTGACACAGTAAGCCACCAGGCCTCCGGGGTAGCCCCACCCGTGCCCCTCCACCCCTCTCAGGGCCCCCTCCCAGCACCCAGGGCCCACAGGCCCCGGGAGGCCCCCACCCCTCTGCTGCCACACCTGCCCCAGTGGAGGGCTCCAGCCCAAATCCCCGGGCCCTGACCCATGGGCCCGACCCATGGGGCTCACTGAGCAGCGGGGGCCTCCCACCCCCAGGGAAAGGCCTGGAGGCATCTCAGCCCAGCCCCTTCCCTACTGCCCAGGCTCACAGTTGCCCCTCACCTGGGCCCCAAGCCCCTCGCTGCTTGGTCTCTGCCCTCGCTGGCCCTGCCTGCCCTCTCACTGGCCAATCCTGATGGGCAGGTCTGCCCTCCCCCCACCCCCCGCAGGGCCGCCCGCAGGGCATAAAGCCGGCTGAGGCGGCTCCCCAGGGACGCGCCTACCATGAAGGGAAGCGGGACCCTCCTCTTGGTGGCTGTCACTTCGCTCTGTGCCTGCGGTGAGTCTGTGTGCTGGTAACCCTCCCCGCACGCCCGGCCTCTGGGAGATGGGCCGGGCTTGGGCAGCTACACGTCCAGGCACTGCCGCCTGCAGTGACTGCTGTACACCTTCCCAGCACCCAGCCCTTCTCCGTCCCAGGACACGACGGACGGGCAACTACCCTGGGCTCCAACTCCAGTTCCCACCCCGCTGCACCCCACTGCACCCCAGCCCAGCCCGACCCCACCCCCCAGGCCCGACCCAGCCAACCTCACGCAGAGCCGGAGCGAAGGGGCTAACAGGAGGGGCCTGTGGGCAGGTGGAGCTGAGACGCCTGGCGGGTGAGGTGGGCACGGATGGGAAAAGTCTGGAGACCTCTGAGGCTGCAGCCCTCCCATCCCGGACCTCTCGCCCCCGTGACACAGGGCTGGCCACAGGCGAGGACAACAGTGACTTTTTCATGGAATTTCTGCAAACGCTGCTGGTGGGGTCCCCAGAAGAGCTCTATGAGGGGCCCCTGAGCAAGTATGAGGTCAACGCAGACGCCAAGGCAGCCCTGACTGAGCTCAAGTCCTGCATAGACGGCCTGCAGCCCATGCACAAGGCGGAGCTGGTCAAGCTGCTGGTACTGTGGGCAGGAGGGCACCCCGCCACCAAAGGCCTGTAGCCCTAGCACGACTCACAGCCCTGCTCCCGCAGCCCCCCCACCCCGATACCCCACCTGCCTCAGCCAGCAGAGGTGGACACCCCAGACCTCACTGCGTACAGAGACCTCAGTCCTTCCACACACACATGCACGCACGGACACGCACGCATACGCATGCAGACACAGGCACGCACACGCACACGTACATGCAGACACAGGCACGCACACGCACACGTACATGCAGACACAGGCACACACACGTACATGCAGACACAGGCACGCACACACACACGTACATGCAGACACAGGCACACACACGTACATGCAGACACAGGCACACACACGCACTGCATGTATGCACACACCTACGTGCACACGCGCACATGCACGCATACACACAGGCATACACACACAGGCTACTCCCTCAGCTGCTAGGAGGGAACTGGCTGCCATGTGTAGAGCCCACTGTCCCCAAAGAGGCTGACTTTACCCGATGTGACTGTGGCTCTCTAGTACTGACCACCCATGTCTGCCTTCCAGGTGCAGGTGCTGGGCACTTAGGACAGTGCCTAGCGAACTCCGGATGTGGCTCTAAGTGGCCACAGGACCAGCTCCACAGCAGCTGTGGCCGTGCCACCCGCCACCGCTCCCCATGTGTGAATTTATCTTCGAATCGTTCAATTAATAAAGCGTCCTGCAGCTCAGGGTCTGGCTCCTGTGTCTCCCCACATTGAGGGACATGCGCGCACACACGACACTCGCACGTGTAAGTGCCCACACAGAGAGCAGACTCGCCAACGGGAATCAGCCTGACGCCCGTGCAGGCAGGTGGGCGTGGCAAGACGAGCAGGC